GTTTATTTGCTTGTTTGTATGTAAGGATGGATGGATGGATGGATGGACCGATGGACCGATGGACCCATGGACCGATGGACCGATGGATGCATGCATGGATGTATGTATGTGTGTTTGCTCGTATATACGTATGTAGGTATGTATGTATGTATGTGCGCGCACTCTTCCAACCTCAAGAAGTGTACGCAGGAAGTACGCTTCGCCAGCCACGTACCTCTGCAGCCATCCATTTTGGGGTAGGAGGGTGCTCTTATTGGCGCCTACAGCGCGGTGGCCATGAAAAAAGAACATAAGCTCTCAACTGTTGCACCACATGTGAGTATTTCATGTGAAACGCTGGGTGAATGTAGGAATCATCCATCGAACAAGCCGCTGCGCACGTGTCGTAGGTAGGCCAGACAATCACATGTGGCCGATCAGGGGAAGGGAAGGGAGGAACTGCTCCGGGAAAGTCTGCTGTCCTGAGAGCACCGCTTTCATTTCAACACGCCCCCCCCGTCTGCAAGGCTATTCCTTGCCTATCAGGACTGAAACTCCACGATGGCAAATAACTTTCATTTACAGGAGCACAATTGAGGCTAGAGGCTAGGGGCGAGGATTGTGTTCACAAAGAAAAAACAGAGGGACTATGTCACTTTCAGCTGAGAGCCCGGCTGTCCAGGCAGGAATCGGTAGATGAACTCGTTAAAAATGTCAAAAATATTCCAAGCCCATCTGTAGCCCAGGGGTGCTGAGAGCCGGAACTGCTCCCTTAGAGCGCGGCTGCTTATGACCCTACCCCAACTTTGCCAGAAACCAGCTGGATTTCCAACTCCAAATCTTTCTGAAAACGGAACATCAAAATGTATCATCCTTCAGCCCATCCTTCAAACGGTGAGGGACCTCTGGCACTCTGCTGATTCCTGGATTTGTGATGTGTGCCTATTAGTATGTATGTATGTATGTATGTATGTATGTATGTATGTATGTATGTATGTATGTATGTATGTATGTATGTATGTATGTATGTATGTATGTATGTATGTATGTATGTATGTGTATATATATATAGCTACATATAGTATATGTGGACAAAACAGCAACAACAGGGATCTCGAAGCCGACCCGTTGTGTTTTCTGGGTCTTGGTAGCGCAAACAAAGACCGCTAGGATCCTCACGTGATCGTGACGTTAAGCATGATCGGGCCAATGTCAACCACAGACTTCAGACTGGTGTGAGCGAACGGGAACCTTAGCTTCAGGAAATAGAAGACCGTCTGACAATGCAAAAAGAACATCAGAAGGAGATGCGAATCACCGTCATTTTGTTGTGGGAGAAACCTTTCTTGTGAAAGGTTGCTATATAAATCTCCATTCTCCAACAAGATCCCAGTAGCGACTAGATAGGAAACTAGGCCCTTGGCATATCCAAGTTCACCGGAATGGGGTTCACCAGCGGTGCTGCCTGTTTCATTCGTGGCTCAAGAAATAACAGTAAATCAAGCTGACGAAGCTCAAGGTGGTGTTGAGCTTCGATGTTGACTCTAAGCTTTGCCTTCTCCTATTGCAAGAAGTCTTCGATTTCAATTTGGATTCCAAAAAGCACCATGAAGACATCTCGTAGTCTGCATTTGGAAGGCGGGGAGTAGATTTGCGAAGGTCCGCATCAGTCCTGATAAAAGTCCCACGGCTCCGCCAAATCCGGCTGAAAGGAGGCAGTGATATAGGTGGAGTCTCGGCCATAGCCGAAGCCGTCGACCACACTAATGTGGAAGGCCCAGTAGTCGCTACCTCAGCGTGGAAAGTCGGAACATGACATGTCTTTAGGAATAACAAATAGCTTCTTGTTACTACTAGTAAGGCACTTGTTACTAGAAGCGATGC